AAAAAAAAAAAAAAAAAAAAGAGAAAAACGTAACATCTCAATCCGCACACCACAACATTCATTTTCAGTTTGTTTGATCCAAGCCTAAAGCATAGTTCGGTTGCGCAGGTAAATCACCATGATGCAATAGCGGCGATGTCGATATTAAGCTGATTTCAAGCTGCAACAGCTCCAAATTATGAAACATTATTTGAGCGGGCTACTCCTGTTTACTATTTTGACAGTAGTAGGGCCCGAAGGAAATTGCTCGAAATCTCAGCTTAAAGACAGATAATACAAAAACTTCTGATGTGAGGTCAGAGTTCTGCGAATTTTTCTACCGAAATGTTACGGAGCCAAACGAAAGCTAACTGCGCATCCTTCGAAACCGCAGACACCTGAGAAACAGATGAAGACCACCTCTGAATATCGGCATATGTTGCCTTCAATGTCACGCATATGTCACTACACGATGAACCCAATTATCCTATTCTTTCGACCTTAACATTCCCCTGCTTCCAGCTATTACCACCGTTTCCATCCCACCACCCATGAGCCATCTCTTAGGTGACCCCAATGTTGTTTCTTTTCTCGAACTACCAACCACTGCTAGCTACCCTGTGATTTTGAAATTTATATTTAAAAAATGTTTTACCACGCGAAGGCCACGTTCAATCGGATCCGTCAAAAAGAGACCGGCTGGCAGATAGACATTCCTATTCTGCTCCGCCAAGAAGTCAGTGATTTTCGTCAACGCCTTTTCATACTGAGTCTGCAAGCAGGCCGCACTGAGTGAGCAACGCATCATGCCCCACAGTCAACATTGCAACAGTGACGCAATGAAAACGCAATAAGGCAAGATGATAACATCTGTATACATAAAGAACAAAACAGGAGAATATGTTTCTATTGATCTGCCGGATCATACATTTCAATCTCGAAATAATAAAAGCTAGGAAGCTGAAATTTCGAAAGAAAAAAAAGGTGCCGGACCAGTGCAATGCCACGAAAGTAAAACCAATTCATATCTCCCCGCCCAATGTCTTTTGGCTTAAGTCTTTTTTTTTAGATCAAAATTCGGGGTAATTTTATAATCAAGTTGAGGACGAACAATTCTACTAACGCGCAATTTTGAGAGTTTATCCATCATGCTACAAGAGTCAGACTTTTTTGACTAAAGTCTGCTCGGCCACGATTTTTCGATGTTAGGCCCAAATCCGGCTAACCGCATAATTTCGAAACGAAGCAAATTTAAAAGTCCAAAATTCTGCGCCTGCTGATCGTGCAAAGTGGCAGAAATGATCGAAAATGAGCAGCCAGTGCTGCTGTGTGCTCGGACCCAAATTCAACCTGGTCTGATTGTTTCGGAATCGGAGAGGCTGCGGAGAGGAAATTTTTACTGGGGCCGAGTACGCTACATGAAGTGAACGAAACCACTCAAAAAATATTCAAAAGTTTCAAAATTAATTTAAATACAGACTGAGATTCTGACTCCAAAACAAAAGCTCTGGCCCAATAAAAAAGTAACAACATTCCCAAACAAAACTAATGTGCGGCACGTTTTTTCCGCTGTTCGCAAGAATGCATACATTAGTGTACTGTGGCGCGTCTCGTCAATTTCACGTTATCGCATGTACAAATATCACGCAGAAGACACGCAAAACACAAACGCACACACACACACACACACACACGCACATACACGTACACACCGCTAGCATTCAGTGCATGTACAAATGCTACAAACAAAATACTAATGAAGCGAAAAGAGGACCTTTGTGAAAAGCCGTGAGATGTAGCAGGACAAGCAGCCGGTCAACGTCTCCAGGACCGTCGTGCAGCACACTTCCTCGGCGGCGTTGTAGTAGGAATTGAGTGTGGTAATGGTGTGCTCCCACTGCTGCTTGCTGACCTGAAAATCGCCTGCACGACAATTCAATGAGCGCTGCTGGCACGTCCGGATGATGCACAACGACAGCACTTGCCAGGGCCACTCGCTCCTCCCGGGACACACACAGGACCACCGGTCAGCGGCCAGCTGACCAGAGCAGACCACGCACACACGCACGCACACACAAGTGCACAAACCTTTCCATCGAGAGCGCTGGGAAAGGCGGTCTCGAACTGCACGCCCAGTCCTCTGGAGTAGTCGCGTTGCACGAATACCTTACTGCACGTGTTCAGTGGTACGCTCACTTCCATCAGCGAACTCATTCTCCATCGGCGACACCAAAACTGCAGCAGCCTCCCAGCCAAACCGATGCTGCTGCTGCTGCTGCTGCTGCGCTGCAACGCCCGGGCATAGAGCGCCGCACGCAGCAGCCCGTACCCTCAGTCGCCAGCGACACAATTGTACTTTGCAAATCGAAATCCCATCGCATAAACGCTCCTGAACCGGCGGCGGCTGCCCTAGGGACGGTGGCCACTCTCTCGGCAAGGACTCGGGAGCAGGCCGAGTGCTAGTTGTATGCGTGAACAGCAGATACCCCGCTGGCGAAGTTGTCCATGGTTCCTCTTCCGTGAACCGCGCAAATGATGATTCTCGGATATGCTAGCTAAAGGCGGTGTCCGCCAGCACTGAGTGCACCCAGGAAGTCTCGTTGCAGGGGGGAGCAGGAGTACCATCAGACAGAATTCATTTTGACGACAAAGCCAAGCAGCAATAAAAAGCCAACAAATCGATGCAAAATTCAACGTCCAACTGCTATA